AAAAAAAAAAAAAAAAAAAAAAAAAAAAAAAAAAAAAAAAAAAAAAAAAAAAAAAAAAAAGTAGAACCGATTAGACAAGAAGGATGAGAGAGAGAGAAAAAGCTCTGCCTTCTCTCTAACTTTACTAATTTTACACAGGAAAGGGCGATTCTTTTGCCCTAGCCGACCACCGCCTCTGCAACCATCCGGCCGGCCACTGCCGGCCGGTACCCCAAAATCCCCCTGGTCGCCCACTGCGGTCCAGGTAAAAGCAACCACAGACCAAAAAACCTCCCCTGAACATGCCGCCTCGACTCCGCTCTTCTTCGGCCCCTCCCTCACCTGGGATTTTGGGACCGCTGCCTAAGATCTCTTCTCCCCTACCTTCTACCCCTCCACCCCCCTCTGTTTCACATCGTCGATGCCCCTCGGCACCGCCGTCCTCTGCACATCTCCTACAGCTGGCCAGTCTAGGGCAGTCTGGAAAGTCGAGCATGGGAACGTCCCCTAGTCGATACTCTCATCGTTCTCTCTCCCCCTCTCGCCTCAACATCTTTCCTTCTTCTCCTTGCCTCATACAGTCAAGGCAGTCAACTAAAGGAGCGTCGGTAGCAGGCCCACCGTCGGAAACTCCGGGCTCAACCATGGCGTTACCCTTAGTTGGTAAAGTTGCTTCACAGGAAGACACATGTCAGGCCAAACCGCAGCTCAAAACCTGGAGCAAGCTCCTCTTCCCGGAACGACGGCAACTCCAGCGAGTGGGTTCCCCAGGCACTCACGTCTCTGGCATGCCACTAGTCACAATCCCAGAAGAGTCTATTACTCAGTCGATTGAGGAGTGGAAAGACTTCCTAATCGGTCAGTTTTACGGTATCCCGCCTTCGATGGGTCGTATCATTGGTTTTGCAAACGGTCTCTGGTCTCGTGGTAACGGCAGAATCCGAGTCCAGGACATAGGAAACGGAACCTTTCTGTTCAAAGTTCCCAATGAAATGACCAGGGCATTGATCTTGTCGAAGAAATTCTGGCATGTTGGACAGTGCCCGATGTTCGTAAGTGCCTGGAACCCCCACCATAGCCCAGACAAACCACCAATGACGTCAATATCCACTTGGGTGTCATTTCGGAACATCCCGCCTAAGCTTTATAATTCTGACAGCATAAGCAGAATTGCTACGGGTGTTGGTAACCCGTTGTACCTTGATCAAGCAACAATGGCGAAGGATAATGTTGCTGTTGCTCGAGTCTACATCGACGTCCAGCTACGTTATCCCCTCCCGAACCGTGTTTACGTAAATCTGCCGGATGGGAAGGAGCATCGAGTTGACGTCTCCTATGATTGGATCCCACCTCTTTGTGGTGAGTGCAGAGAAGTTGGGCATAATGCAAAACATTGCCCCAAGAATCACCGAGTAAGTCACACAGCTGAGGGAACCAGATCGCCAGAACCAACTCCTACATTGTCCACTGAGGACCAAGTGCGAGGAAAACATCCTACTGCCGAAGTAGCCATACCACCACACCCGGCTGCAGAACAACGAGTGAACCCAGAAGTTTCTCAAGCAAATACACAGTTTGAACCAGCTCTTCCTACAAAGGAGCAAGGAAGTACCGGAGACCCGGATGTTAAGTCTGTTGACCATGGAAATGGGATTGCTCATGAGGATCAGGGAAATAGTAGAACTAAAGTGGCATCGACCGAAGTACACAACATTGGCAAGGATGGCCCATCTACTAGCAGACGAATGAAAGTTCAAGGAAATCCTGCGCCCATATTACAAAATGGCTCAGGGAAGAAAAAATCTAAGGGTCGTGGCCGGAGGGCCACGAGAGACAACTAAATCAAAGATTGGAACCCATGTTTTTTGTGTGGAATATTAGAGGCCTAAATGGCCGCCACAAACAACAATTTTTGCGCAAATGGATTTTGGACCGGAAGTTTCGTGTTGGGGGCTTGCTAGAGACGCATATTCAAGAGGCTAACGCAGAAAGAATTTTGCAAGCCATCCCGCAAGGATGGAAACATTCATGTAATCACAGGGATGATGGCTCGGGGAGAATATGGATTATTTGGGATCAAGCGACGATTGTTACTGTCTACAGAACTACTAGACAGACGATGACTCTTACCATCGACTACCCAGATCTGCAAGCGAGATTCTCAGTTACTTTAGTATATGCTAGTAATCACACACACGAGAGGAAGGACCTTTGGGCGGAACTTGAACTGCTAGCAGACTATCAGCCGATCAGAGACTCTCCATGGATCATTGCTGGAGATTTTAACCAAATCTTATGGTCTTCGGAGCGGTCGGACTATCCGGAAAATCCATCTATGGGTCAGGGGCTACTGGACTTTGAAGCTTGTATTGCTTCTACAGGCTTATTTGACATCCCCTATAAGGGTTTTCAGTATACTTGGTGCAACAAAAGTGAATCCCATCCTTTATCCGTGAAGCTTGACCGAGCTATGTGCAATGACAAATGGTTGGGGACCTTTTCTGACGCGTATGCAGAATTCACTGAACCTGGGCCGTCGGATCACTCACCTTGCTTGCTGCACATGCCCTCCATTGCGCGCAAGGTAAAGCGGCCTTTCAAATTCTTCCATCATGTTACACTTCATCCCGATTTCTTGCAGGCCATAAAGGCGAGTTGGGATATTTCGGAGCGAAGTGGCACGATGCAGTTCAGGTTTTGCAAAGCCCTTCAGGGGTTGAAGCCGCTGATAAGACACTTGAACAAGAACCACTTCAGTGAGCTCTCAAAGCGGGTGATAGAATCAGCTGAAACACTAAAGGAAGCTCAGTACAAGTTGTTTGCTAGCCCTTCTCCACAGTTTGTAGCTGAAGAAAAGAAGGCCAGAGAAAAATGGGTATTGTTGGTGGCTGCAGAGGAATCCATGTTCAGACAGAAATCGAGAATCACATGGCTGAAAAGAGGGGATAAAAACACCAGCTATTTCCACAAGGTGGCCAAAGCCAGAACATCAATGAACCATATCCACTACCTAGAAGATCAGGGGGGGAACAGGCTGACCAAACCAAAGGATATTAAACAACACGCAGTTGAATACTTCTCGGACTTAATCGGCCAGAGGGACTACAACACTCAACCCCCACCGACAGATTGGTTCAGGAATTTATTCAACCATACTTGCACCGAAGAGGAGATCAATGAGCTCACAAGGGTCCCGAGTAGTGAAGAAATCAGGAAAGCGCTGTTAGGGATGGCGAACAATAAGGCTCCCGGTCCGGATGGCTACCCGAAAGAATTCTTCGTATCGACTTGGTCTGTGATTGGCAACGACTTAATTGGGGCTGTACAAGAATTTTTTCAGACAGGGATCTTGTTGGGGGAAACAAATGCCACGATTATCACGCTCGCCCCCAAAAAGCCAGGAGCTGTTGCATTAAAGGATTATCGACCGATCAGCTGTTGTAACACATTGTACAAGCTCATCTCAACGATTCTAGCCAGGAAGCTAAAGAAGGTATTGCAGAAAATTATCTCGCCAAACCAAGGGGCTTTTTTGGAGGGAAGATTGATGGTGGAAAATGTTCTCTTGGCTACTGAACTAGTTCGCGAATACAACCGGCCTAACACATCAAAACGAGCTATGCTGAAGATTGACCTCAGAAAGGCTTTTGATACGGTCAGTTGGGAATTTATCACAAAAATTATGCAAGCTCTGAATCTTCCTCGCACATTTGTCACATGGGTAAAGGTATGTATGGAGACTCCGAAATTTTCCGTGTCCATAAATGGGGAATTGGCAGGTTACTTTAAAGGCAGACGTGGACTCCGGCAAGGGGACCCGCTATCACCCTACCTATTCATCATGTCGATGGAAGTTCTGTCACGGATGTTGGATCGATGTGCTGCAGAAAGTAGGTTGAGTTTGCATCCAAAGTGTCACTCTCCGGTCATAACTCATCTTGCTTTTGCCGATGACATTATGATATTCACAAGTGGAGAGACTCGATCACTACTTGAGGTTAAGAACACTCTGGACAGTTTCAGTAGAGCCTCCGGATTGTATTTAAATACAGAGAAAACAGAAATCTTCTTAAGGGGTTTAAATGGGACTGAAGCATCGACCCTATGTGCAGTTATTGGCTTTACACGAGGATACTTACCAGTGAGGTACCTAGGTGTCCCGTTAAGTCCGGTCAGACTGACTAAGTCTGACTACCAGCCGCTATTGGATCCCG